GAGGCGGCGTTCCTCCACGATGACCAGCATGACATTAACTATCAAACAACAGCTTCAAAATACTCACGTTCTTAAGTGATCACTACTTGGACGTGAGATTTAGTCTTTACAAAAACAACATTCATTAATCGCAATTAATCGTGATGATGAATTTCAAAATATGCGATTAATTTGCGATTTTCTTATCTACCCTAATATATAAACGTGTGTGTGTGTGTGTGTGTGTGTGTGTGTGAGCTCTAAATGAGGCTCACCTCCACCTGCAGCTGCCCGATGTCGTCGGTGGCCCACGCCTCGTCGTCGTTGTCGTAATTTGGGACAGTGGAGAAGCTTCCCGCCCGGTGCTCTGACATCATTCCGACATTGTTAGCATCAGACGCGCCGCCGCAGTCCAGGTTCTCTGCGGAGCGCGCCGAGCGGATCCTCGTCTCCGGGATCCGGACCGGAACCGGAGACGTCTCAAAGCTCTTGCACTCCAAAACCTCCACGTAGATGATGTACGGAGCCTGAGGAGGACGGGCAAACATTCCTGTTAGAACCAACATTAGCATACTAGTCGATGTTTGTGCTAAGCTAGGCTACCCGTGCGCCTGAGTCACCTTGTCCTTGGAGTTAAGCACCACGGCCTGCGTGTGGGGGATCCGGCACACGTGGTGCTGCCGCTCGGCGGTGGGCAGCCACACGCGGGCCGGCAGCTTGTGGTTGAGCTGCGACAGCTCTGAGATCAGCCGCTGGGTCTTCTGCTCCTTGGTGGGCAGCGTGGCCAGACGCTTCCCGATGCCGAGCAGAGACTTGACCAGCTCCCGCTGAGGACGCAGACGCTCCGGCTGCCGCGGGGAGACGGATTTAAATCAGCGTGATTGTCTTTAACCGACACACAACGACACCGGTGGTCGATCTGGACTCCATCATCCCCCCGCTCACATCCCACTCAGTCCTCAGCAGTACCCGGACCAGCACTTAGACTGCCGGGGGACTTCGAAGGACACCGAGCCGCTACGCATCATAAACCAACGTTACCGACTTCCTGTGGTCTTTGTGCCCCCCGGGTACAATTTATTATATATTATTAAGATGTAATATTGAATATACTTCATCAAAAAGTGTTTTAATGTTAAGGCTCATTTTATTCTCATATTCTGAAACAGAACCGCTGTTGTGATAATAAACAACAACTAATAACTAATAAATGTCTGGATTCACCTCCTCGTGAACGGCTTCTACCTTCGGGTTACTTCCTGTCCGCCGGAGACCAGAACCCGGCTCGCTGCTCGCCGTGGTGGCGTCTGACTTGGATCTGTGGTGGGTCCTCCTAGTCGGCGAAAGAAAGGCCTCCGCCGGCGCCGGGCCGGCGCTGGAAAACAAGGAGGCGGAGTCTGTGTTGCTGCTGTTGTGCCTCCGGTGGCAGCGGCTGCGGGGCGGCGAGGACGGTGGGCTGCCGCAGACGGGGACGAGGGCGTCCGGCGGAGGCGCCGTCGGTTTGAGTTCGTCCGACAGGATGAGCTTCCTCAGCTTGGTGCCTCTGGAGTGGCGCTGGGTGGAGATGTGCATGTCGGAGGAGTACGCGCCCAGCAGCCAGGCCGTCAGCAGGGAGAAGGTTATTCCTCCTCTGCAGCGGTGAATCTGAGGGACAAAAGACGTTAAAGCGTCCAGCTACAGATCGTCCCGGTAGATCCAGAGGGAACTGGAGCACAAGCGGTGAAACGACAGAACGGTAAAAGGATAAAACAACGGTCACAGTTGAAGACTGTTGATGCTAAGCTAAAAGTGGGCGGGTCGGATTTAAACTCTGAATAATAAAGAGGTGGAGACACTGCGCCTCGACTTCCACCTGTGACCTTCACGTGACCTCCGCGCGGGACTCACCAGGTACGGTCGGATGGCGTCGCCCACCTCGGTGTCCATGTGCACGTACATGTTGAGCAGCTGCGGCAGGTAGAAGTCCACCTCGCTGTCGGGGAAGCTGAAGAGACGGTTCCCGATGTACGCCTGCACCCCCGGCTCCTTGGACTTGTACAGGTAGGAGATCGCCATGGAAACGTCAAACAGCTTGGACTCAAACAGGCGCAGCAGCCACGACTGCTTAGACGCCGCCGCCGCCGGCAGCAGGGAGGGAGGCGCCGGTCGGGGTGGAGGAGACGGGTCTCTGTGGAGTCTCCCTTCCTCCTCCGCCTCGTCCCCCTCGTCTTCTTCTTTGATGGAGCAGGCGTCCGGGCTGACGAGCCACAGCGGAGCGGATCCCTCCGTCGGGTCTGCAAAGCGTTGCTGTTGTTGTTGTTGTTGTTGTTGATCATCCCGTCGCTGCTCAGGCGCCTCCCTGTTCTGCAGCTTGTCCATGAGGAGAACCTCCTGGCAGGCCTTCAGCGCCACTTCCGGGTTGATCACTGGAGGAGAGGATACGGCAGAGGTCCAGGTTACCGTTAGCGTCCCATAACACCCATCTGGCCCCTCCCATAACACACATCTGGCCCCTCCCATCGTGGTTCTAGAGTCCGTCAAGTCAAACGTGTCCATCATCAAGCTGCTACTGCTAACCATGGATCGGTACCTTGGTCGGCCCCCAGGTCCATCTCCATGGCGTCCTCCGAGATGACGTCCAGCGGGGGGGTCGGGCCTCGGGCGTCGCCGCCGCTCGACACGCCGCTGCTGCCGATTCCCTCGCTGGCGCTGCTGCTGCAGAGGCTGCGGGTGCTGCCGATGCTGCCGCTGGGGCTGGAGCTGCGGGGGCTCGCGCTTGGGGAGGACGGCTGCTCGCCGTGGGGGGGTGGGGCCAGCTGCAGTCGAGGGTGGTGGTGGTGGTGGTGGTGGTGGTGGAAGTGACAGTCTCTGGTCTCTCAGAACAAGCTTGGACGAGGTAGTGGGGAAGACGCGTACTCTCAGGCGGGCAGGACAGGGCAGGAGAAGGTGGTGGGGGAGGAGGAGGAAAAGGGAGGGGGGGGGAGTGGGACTTGGTGGGAGGGACTAAGGTGGAGCGGCTGCAGAGACGGGGACATCGAGACCTCGGCGTCGGCCATTTTGGAGGAGCAGGCCTAAAGACGGACGCAGAGAGAGACCGAAGATAGTTCATTCTGTGTAACATAACATCCAATCACAGGCCAACATACTGGTGTACCTTTGTCAACCCACTCTGAAACTGGGAGCGCTTGATTTGTTACAGGGCATCTCCCCGCAAACACACCTGACAAAGAAGGCGAGGAGGAAGGAGATGAGGAGGAGGAAGGAGATGAGGAGGAGGAGGGAGAGAAGAGAAGTCCGTCTGATCTCCTGTGTTTCCGTCACGGCGGCTCCTCCCTTTTCTCTTCTAGCGCAGGCTTATAAAGACTTCATGCTAAGCTAGGCTAGCATTTAGGTGCTAAGCTCAGCTAGCTGCTTCCTGCTGCTTCAGGCAGAAAGTACCACATGTACCTGTGAGAAAGCTAAGTAATATCAGTGGTAGGAGTGGTATTACTGCTAGTAATAGTAGTAGTGTGTTGTTACCGGTGGTGATGATGATGTCATGAAGTAGTTGGAACGAGAACACTCACATGATCCCTGTGATTATTGATTATTTATTATTCAAAGTCCCTTCCTAATCACTTCCTGTGAGCTGAAGGTCAAACTCTGTGTTCTTATCAGCTCTTTATTGATCGTCACGGTGATGATCAACAGTTCAAAGGTCAAATGGCTGATCAGGGGAAACAGGAAGTACTCGGATTACTTCATTTCACAAATTCAAACTCAAGGGCGGCAGGATAATATTTAATTACTATGACAGCTGATTATTAAATGAGTAAATACTATTTACTAAACTATTTAAATTATTGTTCTGTAATGATTAGAGGTCATCACTTTAATTATTGATCATAGTCATTGATTATTATCTGAATCTGAACTGAACACACACACACCTACACACTTAGTAACACACACAGACACTCACGCATACTCACACATCTGGAACCCATCACACACATCTGGAACCCATCATACACACACACACACACACACACATCTGGAACCCATCATACACACACACACATCTGGAATCACTAGGGGAATAGTACTAGTGGTATATACGATTTGTACAGATCTGTCAGAATTGTAATACTACTGTACCAGTATTGTTCTTGTACTATAGAATAATAGTACTAGTACTATAGGAGTAAAGTACTAGTATTGTTCTAGTACTATAGGAGAATAGTACTAATATCGTACTAGTATTGTTCTAGTACTATAGTATTGTAGTAGTATTGTTCTAGTACTATAGTGTTGTAGTAGTATTGTTCTAGTACTATAGGGTTGTAGTAGTATTGTTCTAGTACTATAGTATTGTAGTAGTATTGTTCTAGTACTATAGGAGAAGAGTACTAGTATTGTTCTAGTACTATAGTATTGTAGTAGTATTGTTCTAGTACTATAGGGTTGTAGTAGTATTGTTCTAGTACTATAGGAGAAGAGTACTAGTATTGTTCTAGTACTATAGGGTTGTAGTAGTATTGTTCTAGTACTATAGTATTGTAGTAGTATTGTTCTAGTACTATAGGGTTGTAGTAGTATTGTTCTAGTACTATAGTATTGTAGTAGTATTGTTCTAGTACTATAGGAGAAGAGTACTGGTCGGAGGAGCCGCTCCCTCCTCATGAAAACAAGCCGGCGGAAGGAGGAGGAGAGCCGGACTGCAGCGGGCCCTCAGCCCGGGGACTCAACACCGGAACCATCGGACAACCGGACCACCCGGGCGGATAACAGCTAATGGCTAGCGGCTAGCGGCTAGCTCGGTGACGACTAAAAACAACAACAACAACAACACCGGGGAAGTAACGCCAGACGGAAAAGAAAACATCCGCAGAAGAAGAAGACCAACCGGCCGCTGACGCGCCTCCGCTCCGGTCGAGAGGCCGGAGACTCGGGGTTCGGTCCGGTGCCGTTCCGAGAGGTTTCGGGTTGGATCGAGGTTTTTAGCCCGGGATGTAGTCCGGGTCTCAGTCCGGCCTTTCAGGCACAGAATTGGTCCATCTGGTCCGGGTGTTGTGGCCTGGCTCTGCTCGGATCGGCTCCACTCGTGACGCAACATCCATGAAGACAGCCGCAGTGCGAAACAGCGGCGCTTCCGGTGAACCCTTACACAATAAAGGTTTGGACCATGTGACCGAGAAACGTATTTTGAGTTCAAAACTTCGTCAAATAAATACTAATACAATAATAAAATGAATATGATATATAATAAATACATCATAAATAATACATATCATTTCTAAATTACTGACACCAGGGAGCAGTTAGGGGTTGGGTGTCTTGCTCAGGGACACTTCGGCATGGGACATGGAGTTTGAACCGCCGACCCTGCGGTTGCCGGCGCACCCTCTCTACTCCATGTAGAGGCGCCACCGACGCCCGTTTGATGAGAAGGACACTTTTATTCTACACAACTTTATAGCTTTCAAAAGATGTTGTATTAATCAATTGTTTGTCAACTATATTATTTCTGCAGCTACTTTCCGTAATAATTTCCTAAATTTTAAACATATTAATATTATTATTAATGTATTATTATTTTTGTATTTCTGTCTTACTCTGCTTTTTTGTTTTAGAACATTTCCTCCAGAGTTGAATCTCAAGGAAATTTAGCTTTTTTAGTTTGACAAGCTCGTGTTTTAGTTCCTTTTAAATGATATTTACATCAAGCGTTTATTTTGAAGACTTTCATTTCCGGTTTCGCTCCAGGTTACCTTCATGGATCAACTGGTTTCGGTTGAGATTCTGGTTCTGGTTCAGTTCGGACCAAAACCAGAATCCAACTGATTTCCTGAACTAATATTTGACATTATTCTGTTTTACTTCAAATAAACAATTTCAGAGTTTTCGCATCTTTAGTGTTTTAAACTATTTCCTGTTTAAAGTTTTATTTGAAACTAAACCTATGAAAACATTATAATTAATAAAAAAAACATTATTTTAAGTAATTGTTTATTGCATTAAGGCAATAATTATTGTTTCTTCTACCTCTCTGTTTACATTAATATTGTAACACAGAGAGTATTGTTACTATCATAATTATGGTCTGATACTTTGGTCTAAAGAGAGAGAAACCAGAGAGAAGCTTTGAGCAAATAAAACAGATGAAAAAGGAAATCAAAGAGGAAGGAAAAAGGAGGAAACCAAACTAAAGGAAAAGAAGAAAAGACTAATCAACATGAAATAAAAAAGAGGAAAGAAAGGAGGACAAAGAAAGGAAGACAAAGCAGGGTACAGAAAGAGACAAAAGTAAAGGACATGAAATAAAGGAACTGAAAGAAACGGAGGCGACAGAAAGAAGGGAAGCGAGTAAACAACGCATAAAAGAAGCGTATAAACCGATTGTTTTTTGTGCCAATGAACGTCTCTTCCTTTATTCATCGTAGGAAAATAAATTGACATTAATGTTCTGTCCTCTGTCACGTTTCTGTTTCTCACAACAAAACAAACAAGTAAACAAAACATGAACTCAATGGGGGGGTTAAAGGGACAGTGTGTACGTTTTAGACACATATTTGTGAGTGAAGATGAAGAACGGAGGTGTGATTAGGTTTCACTTCTGTTTACGTGTTATTGCTAACATTTGGACTTTATACTCACAAATGTATTCTTTGCAGCAGTCATTGTTGACGATGTTGTGTGTGTGTGTGTTTGCGTCTGTCTAGATGTGTAGTTTTGATAATAGACAACATCACAAGATCCACGTGTCCAACCGCATTAACGTTGTGGCTCCTCAACACTACGATCTTTAACAGTTTAATTTGAGGTCCCTGAACGCATCACGACTGCAGTAGAAACACGGCCGATATAAAACATAGTTATGAGTATCATCAATATATCCATCATTGAACTTTACACACGGCTCCTTTAACTTTGTTTTGTACTAAATATGTAAAGCAGTAAAGTGCAAAAAAACACAGAAAGGCTGATTACAGGAAAAACAAAAACATAATAATTTACAAGAAAAGGGCCCAACAGTCACAGGAAATAAAACCATGCAGGAGGCAAACATACTCGTCTCCATAGCAACAGTAGCAATAACAACAATAATAAAATCTGGACATCAACAAGTTATACGAGAGCAACAATAAACAGCAACAACAAAGAGGAGAAAAAAACATTAGAAGAAAATGGCGGCACAAAAGTGTAAAATGTGTCTGATATCAGGAGTCCTGGTCTGCGCCGAGGACTTCATTACCCAGAGTGCATCAGCAGCGACAGACATTTGACAGGAAACATGGCGACTTCCAGTTTAGAGTGGGAGTAAACCACATGATCATCATCGTGGTTGTCATAGTAACCAGTGTTTGACGAGGCTCCGTCTGACAAACGACATCTCGACTTTAAGTGCTTTGTGATTTTTCTTCACGCTACATTGAGCAATAAGAAAAAATTAAACTGCATCTTGAACTCGCATTTTCAAGCATTTGGATCAATCGAGTCGATCAGTTTCCATCAAACGCAGAGCAGATTAAAGGTATTGATCATGGGGGGGTTTTGCGTTTATTCATCACTAGTTTGTTCTGAACGACATAATGATGCTGATTCATAGTATCAATTTGTGTTGTAACTTTTAAATGCTTGTTTTGTGAAGGGACTCTGGTTTGATTGATGCTAAGCTGTGCTAACGTCTGCGTGGCTATTCATTGCAACATATTGATTGTACAAAATCTTTGAAATGACTCTGCGTTTGGTGAAAGCAGCATTGGAGGTGTCCTGATCGCTGGACTTGTACTTCCTGTTTACTTCCTGTTTACTTGCTTTGAACCTGCGGGACGTCTACAAGCTGAGAACTGAACCGTCTCCTGCTGTGACAAATCTACGTCTTTTTAACTAAAGCGAGTCCTACGACCGCCTCCACCTTCAGACCCGGGTTCCTGATGCCAGGACCAAACCACACCAGACCGGACCACACCGGAGCAAACCGGACTCAACCGGACTAAACCGGCTTCTTCACATCGGTGAGAAGGTTTTCTAGTTCATTTTTCCAGCCCAGCAGGTCCGGCAGCAGGAACCTTTAGGGTGGACTCTAGAAGGAGGAACCGGGGCCCGAGTCTGATTGAGGTCATGTATGCAGGACAAAGTGAGGACGGATGACTGGACAACTTGTGGTCTTTAACAGCGGTGAAGTGTGAGTCCAACAAGCAGTCATGTGACTTGAGTCCAGGTCATGTGACTACTTGACTGAACAACATTTGAGTTTTAGCGATGTCTTTAGGAATCACTTCCTGTTGGCGTCTGGTTGAGTTTAATCTCTTACCGGTAAACAAATAGCGTTATTCTGTATCAACATGGCGCCGCTCAGAGCGCCACGCGGAGCTACAGAAATACGTACAACATAGACTCACAACGCCGTCCAACAAGCTTTCTGTCTTCTTCAACGGTTTGACAGTGTCTCAGGTCAGTCTGAAAGGGGGCGGAGCCTCGGCGGCACGATGGCACTTCACAAATGAGTGACATTAGCATGAATAGCGCTAAGCAAGCTACAACTTCCCATCATGCAACAGGTTTCACTTGAACAGTCTGAAATCTTTTTCGGGCCTCTTTTTAACCTGATGCACACACACACACACGCACACACACACCCACACACACACACACGCACACACACACTTTGATGTGCACGCGTTGGCACAAACATTTGTTTTCTTTATTAATCTGTGATTATATGTTTAGATAAAAGCATCATTTTGAGAAGAGTTAAAAGTAAGTTATGGCTACTTTATAATAACACAATAATATGTTCTCTTATGGAGTCATTTTGCTGAATAATCAGGAAAATTATTTTAATGTCAAAACATTTGACGGTTTTGCTTCTTGTTGAATAACGCAATTCTTTCAGGTTTCTTCCTCCAAAAATGTGTTTTTATTGGTCTTCTTGATGCTACTTCCTGAACCAACATTAATTATATTATAAGAGGAAAGCGAGGTTCTCTGAGCTCTTCATATTGTCTCGTTTCATCTTTAAAAAACTAGAAAACATGTTTCACGTCGACGGGATAAAAGACGACGTGGCTTCGTGCTTCTTTGATCCTCAAACGCCACAAACTGTCTGACAATCTGGTTCCTGTAGTGCTCAACCCCTTATCTTCTACACGTTCCTTTAGCTGAACATCTCAGAATAAAGTGACACACACACACACACACACACACACACACACACACACACACACACACACACACACACACACACACAGCTTTGATTCACCTTCAGTCGGGAATGTTGGAGAACGTCTCCAGACAGAAGGTGAATGGAGGCGGAGCTTGGTATTTAGCACAAAGAACCTTCACAAGGTCCTGACCCGTAGCACTTGCCTCCTTCCCTTCCTCTGCTCTTCCTCCTTCCTTTGTGTCACTCTTTTCTTTCTTCTGCAGGAGAAGCGGCTGAAGACCTCAGAAGGAGTCTGGAGGCGAGGATGGAGGAGAGGAAGCTCCCCTGAGGAGTCGCTCTCCTGCTGTCAGACATGCAGTTGCAGAGTCGCTGGTTTTGGCTTCATTCATCCTCCTCAATTGGCTCTCTGCTGCCGCCAATCAGGGATTTCCACCAATGAGGAAGAGGGGGCGGGGTTTATCTAGTGAGACTCTGTCTTTGAGGAGGTGCTGTTCTCTGGCTCCCCGTCTTCCTCACTCTTCACCACAGTGATGGAGCTGAAGGAGGAGGTGGCAGTGGAGGAGGAGGAGGCGGAGGGGGGGTTGACGTGCAGCTCCACTGGTGTCAGCGTTATCTCCACCTCCCCCCGCTCCTGGTGGAGCCTGGGCGGAGGGAGAGGGTGGTGATGTGTGGCTGGCGGAGGAGTGGAGCTGTTGTTGCCGGGCCTCGGGGCCTTCTGGATGACCTCCACCATCGGGGGGAGGCGTCCCGACAGCTCCCACCCGGGGTTCCCCGCCGGACTCTGGAGGAACAGTAGAGGTCGGTCCCGGCGGTCCGGCTCGGCCTTGCACTGCACCACCACGCCGCGGTGCTCCGACACGGCCGGCAGCTGACCCAGGACCAGCCCCGGCTGCTCCTGGATCAGCAGCTCCAGCACCGGCTGCGAGGAGGAGGCTTTCTGGATGACGCCGCCGACGGAGGTGATGATGGGCGGGTGGAGGGGGGGTTTGGGAGAAAGAGCGGCTGGAGGAGGAGGAGGAAGGGCTTCCTCCGGCCGAGGTTTCCGAGGTCGGCCACGTTTCCGCTTCACCGGCGAAGCGGTGGACGCGCCCACTGCGCCGCTGCCCGACGGCACTGCATCCAGGGGGCGCTTGTTTCCGTTGCCTCGTGGCTTCTGCAGCACGGACGTGGGGGCTGCAGAGGCGTGTTGCTGAGGAGGAGGAGCTAAAGGAAGAGGGGGCGGGCCCACCTTCTCACGCTCATACGACAGACAGCCCTGAGGCAGGATCATCACCGGGACGGGCCCGCCCGGCTGCTGGGGCAGCGTCGCCATGGCGATGACCTTCACTCCGGCGGCGTTGACCCCGGAGGAGTCTCTGGGAACCAATGAGGGCGGAGAGGAGCGAACGGAGAGCTGAGTCTTATCAGGGACGGAGCTGCGAGGGAGGATTCTGGGTAACTGTTTCATGAACGCCTCCACCTGCACAACAGGAAGTGCTGTTATTCATCAGATTATCTGAAGCTGTGCAAATATGTGGAATCCTAAAATGACAGTAAATGAAATCTTTGGGTAACAACATCCTGATGATGTCACCAATAAATAAAAACGTACCGCCGGACGCAGCGAGGAAGAGGAGGGGCAGGAAGAGGGAGGAGGAGCCTCCAGGGAGGAAGGCTTGGCTGCAGACGCCGATCTGTCTCCAGACTTTGACGAGGAATCCCCGAGCTCCTTCTGCGGACACACAGGAAGTAGCGGTTAGCGGCATCACAGAGCGACCAATGAGAGAGGCCGGTGCCGCAGAGGTCACCTTGTGGTCGGCGGCTCCCTCGCCGTCGGCTCTGGAGGGGAGGGGCGTCTTCTTGATGACCTTGTGGGGTTTGGCCGGCGCTCCTGGAAGCGGATTAAGGACCACGTTTTAATGTGTGCAGCTGTGATGTCATAGTTTACAAGTCATGGTGCGGCTATGAGGTCATGTTCAAAGTTACACACACACACACCTGCGAGCGCGGCGGAGGTCACCAGCTCGGCCCGGCTGCAGCGCGGGTTCACCAGGTGCTCCTGGATCAGGTAGCGGGCAATTTCCACCACCGTGTCGAACGAGCGCTTCAGGATCTTCTGCGCCCAGTCGCAGATCAGCTCGCATGCCGCCTCCGTCACTTCCTGTTTGTAGGTCTGGACCAGCTCCGTCAGCTCGGCCTGGGGAGGGAGGAGGAGACTGTGACGGGGCAGCGAGCACCACCTCAGACACAAGGCGTCTTTCATGTGAGAGGAGACTAGTGTGTGCGTGTGCGTGTACCGGGTCACTCTTCAGGTCCAGGGGGGGCAGTAGAGGCATGTTGAGGACCGTCCTCCTCCTGATGCCGCTGTAACAGTACGTGTTGCCAGGCGGTTTAGGGAATTCAAACAGCTGGTCTTTCTTCTTGGTAACCATTGACTTCACTCGTCTCTTTCATTTAGGTGCTATTGAACCAGACGTGTCCCGTGTTCCCCACACATTGACGGTGGATCTTTGGGAAACACTGCATGTCCCTTTTATAGTAACTGGTCCCTGGGTATCATTTAAAGGTAAGTGAAGGTCACGGAGAGGGGAGGAGCTTCTATTCTAATGGCAGCTCGGGGGGGTCGCATTGTTTACAGAGAAACCATAGGAACGCACACATCTGGATCCCACCATTATAGCATCTGTTGGGCTGCACACACATTATTATCGCAGTGCATTTGAATGGGAGGAAGTCGATACAGACCCCAGTGGACACCGTGAGACATCCAGTCAACATTATTCATGTTGGACTTGGATACCTTCAATATTTTTATGTAAAACTATAGCCAGCAGTTCTTTGCTTCAAGTACTTTTAACTCTTTACTTAATAAATGGAAATACGTATTTGACTCCTCCCCTTTTCTTTGCTGATCTGAACTGTGAGGTTTTAGATCCTTTACACCCCTATTACATATCTGATATATATATATATATATATATATATATATGTATACATATGGGTACACATGACGTGGAGCTGCTGGAAGGATATTTGGACTGTCCTCTGCCGCCGAGCCGTCGAGCCTTGATGTTTGGGAAAATGTCTCTGATGATCTTCCCGAAGTTGGCGGCGCTCAGAGGTCGATGCTGCAGATTCTCACAGTGTCTCCTGCAGGGACAGACACAGGTGGTCACGTGACCCTGTGACCTCTGCGGGACAGACACGGGTCACGTGACCCTGTGTCCTCTGATGGAGTTGGCTCACCTGTAGGTCTCGTAGACGTCCTGTTTCGGCAGACACGTGTCACAATGCTCCTCCAGGTGACTCCGGATCCAGTTACAGGTGTGGAGCTGGTCGGCTGTGTTGAAGGAGGCGGAGTCACTGCCACTACACACAGACACACGCGTTAGGACATTGACGAGTCATGTGATGGACCAGCAGCTGAGCAAGTCTGACCTCTTGTCTCCAGAAGAGGGTCCAGAGGGCAGCTGGAGGTAAAGGTAAAGCTTATCGTTGTCAGAGAACCGCTGGACATCGAGCTGGAGAAGAAGAGCAGAGGAGACACACATGAGACACACACACACACACACGAGAGAAACAAGCACACATACGCACACAGACACACACTGTGGTTCTCACCAGAATCTGGTCCACTTTGGTTTGGACACTTTTTCTGCAGAGAGAAAACAAACATTTAAACCTGGTTGAAAACCTAAAAGTCTGAATCAATATGTTTAAAGAAGCTTATTCTTACGAGATGTTACTCTTGAGTTTCTGCAGCAGCATGCTTGGCTCCGTGTTGCCCTCCATTACCCCTAGGTCGCCCCCCCCTCCCTCCAGGTTACCCCCCTGGAGGGAAGCCTCGGCCTGCTGGTCCTCCGACATCTGGACCGACTAACCGGCGCTGAGCGGCAGCATCTGAGAAGATAAATGGATGAAAAGAGAACCAATAGATTGATCCCGAGGCCGATAACGGCGAGCGAGACTTTGTTCAATATGTGAATGAAAATGCAATGAAAAATGCGTAAAAATGTGAAATTCTTAAAAATAAAAAAATGAAATGAAACCATAAGAAACATATGTTTAATAGATGTATCTACAATGTAAAAATATATTCAAAATAATTATTGGGTAAAATATATTTGTCAGAAATTAAGAACAAAATATGTGAAAGAATTCTGGAGCAGGTGCAATAATTTAAAACTAACAAGACGGTGACAGACAGAGGGACAGGCAGAGGACAGACACAGGCAGACAGACGGACGGACATAGAGGGACAGGCAGACGGACTCAGAGGGACGGACAGACGGACATACAGACAGAGTGGTCACTCCCAACTGTCCCCCGTCACCGCGCGTTAGCACACTGTCAGCCGGGGGAAAGACAACAGGAGCCCCGCTGGCTGCCGGGTGGTGACACATGGCCGACTCTCGGGGGGGGGGGCGCGTTACAACGACTACCCGGGCGGGGGGGCGTGCGCACACACACACATACACACACACGCGCGCGCGCGCTTACGTTAGCTAGCGGAGAGAGCGCGCTAACGGCCGCGATGTGTCCGCCGGTGACCCGCCGGTGATTACCGCGCACTGGGTCGGTGGTCATGCGCCTGCCGTTTACTTTCGCAAAACACACGCGGGCGCACGGACCCAGCTCTGCATGCTAGTGGCGAGCTAACTGGCTAATGGACGCCTCAGCATGAGCGGGTCTCACCGCGCACACCGTTAAAGACCGAGAGCAGGACGTCGCGTCGCGGAGAGTCGCAGCAGTTCCGCTGACATTTTGCCGCGTTTCTACGTGGTTGCTAGCTAACGGGTCGCTGCTAACCGGCTAACCAGCCTAGCTGGAGGCTAGGCGGGTAGCATTGGCTAGAAAGCGCCGAAACACCCGTTCAACGTGTTTTTAAAGTCTATTTTTAATTTTAAAATATTTCCCGATAACCTTTTATTTATGCTGCTAATAATGTATGATCGATTCGGTGAGTCTCATTTGAGTATTTATTTTAAAAAGAAAAAGAAAGTACCTGAGCAAAGATTCAGCAAAAATCCTCTTTCAGATTCTATTGTGATTGGCCGACTTTGTTATGTCTGCCTGACTACAAAGCCAACGTCCACTCCGATTGGTCCACCCTCACCAGTCTGCCCGGATACCAAAAGCAGCTGGAATCCCATTCGTCGATTGGAATTATTTTCCTAACATGGATTATTCCGATTGGACGCGTTCGCCTGGTCTGCCCAGTTACAAAACTGATGAATCTATCCAGTAATCTGCATGGCAACAGCCGTCAGTTGAAACAGAACGTACATACGTGCGTGTGGTTGTGTTTAATATTTCACACTCTGGGTAGACTGTATTGTATCCTATATTTCCCAATTGCCGTTTTAGATTACGGTTTATTACCAAATAATTGGACCAAATATCTACGTAGCGTTAAAACTTTTTTTCTTAATTTTGGACTGCATTTGAATACAATTCAACCATGGAACAAGAATACAGCTTTTTGTTCATTATAAACAAATGTATCCAGTAGTTGGGAGATGGAATCAGCTTGATATTCATCAGCAGGTAGTGTTCTATACACATCATGAACTCCATGAAGTCACATCTTAATTTACAGTGTTTAGTGTTAATAGAAAACACATTTTTGAATTTGCCACATTTATTCTCCATTATACAAAAGTTACAGTGAACATCAGAAAGAAAAAACAGATCGGCTGCAGCTGTTTTAGACGCTGAAAGACTTCAGTCGCAGCTTTTCTTCATTCAAACCCGCTGAAAAGAAATAAAAGGAGAAACTTAACATCAGAATGTATTGTATTTGCATACATCCTGACAAGCAGTGTTTGTGACCGATTTTATATTGTTTAATTATAATCAGAATCATCCTTAGGTGTAATTTTATAGCATTCATAAAGAAGCTAAAAAAGTGATGTGTTCAAATATCATCTGTAAATGTCTTCCCAGCAAATACAATAGAGGAGTAATATAACATATACATGTATTATACCTCCTTCCAACTGCTTCAGTTAGGCGTCACATCTCAAACACAATTATTGGACTGTTATCAGGAGGAACTTCATAGGAGCCTCCGGTGACCTTCGACCCTACCTGACCATGTGAGCGATGTCCCAGTTGGTTTCAGAGGACAGGGGACCAACAATCTCCACGCCTTCTTCCGTCACTATGGCAATCTCGTGCTAACACAAAAACACCAAAGGTGTTCAACATTCAACAACAGGGTAAACGGCGTGGAGTAGAATAAGAATAGTGAACTGGGATCAGGGAACTCACCCGGTTGTAGGAGCGAGCATCTCTGTAGTAGAGAACCTTGAGGCAGCGCTCCACCAGCTCACGGGCCTCCTGCTTTGTGATCTCCACCTTGTTCTCCACCACTTCCCTCATCAGGGGCTAATCAGACCAGGAGGCAGAGAGAAAACATCTTTGTTTAGTGAAGATGCAAATGACCCTCTCCTAAACTTTAATCTTTGTATAGTTTATGTTCTAACAAATTATAATTATATATATATATACACACACACACATATACCAAAGATCCTCTGCGAGGGAGGACCCTCCATTCTAAGCCAAAAGCTGATTACAGGTCAGTTTCACTTTTATTCAGAAATTGGGTGAATCGTTTTATCAGGACCTCAGTTCGCCTCACCTGAGCCAAGTATGCGCCGAAGCCCGTGGCCACTGTGGGTGCCTCATAGGCCACGCCCAGCTTGTCCACGTAACCCAGGAAACTAGAGGGAGAAGAGACGGCCCACCGTTAATGAGCTCTCACAATACATGTAAACCGACACTTTTAGAGGGGTTAGAAAACAGGAAGCGGCCCTCACCTCTTCCCGCTGTAGAAGCCTCCGATCACCACGGTGTTCCACAGAGGGTTCATCTTGCTGCGGCGGTTGTACATGACTCTGGTCAGCCAGGAGTGGACGGCCTTGGGACTGTAGCTGTGACCGTCACCCAGCAGCTCCTCGTCGATGCTGAGGGAGACAGAAACCAACGTCAGAGCAGCAGCGGGCCGATCCACCAGCCATCAAACACGTATTCTGTCAACTTACACCATCTGCTCAATGATGTGTTTGAGATGCTGGTAGTCAGCGTAATCTCCTGAAGCTCCTAGGATCGTGTTGTTGTTCACCTGAAAGCAGAAACAGAATATCCATTGAAAAGACAAACTGGGCCTTTAGGGTTAAATAGCTGAATATCTTGCATATGAAATATCCATCACTCAGCGCAGTGATCGTTATTAGAGCCGAAGTTCATCACCTTCATGAGGCGGGAGATGTTCCTGAAGCGAGCCAGGGAGCCGTAGGAGCCCAACATGTCTGCCGCGATGATGACGCCCCCAGTGAACTTCACGCCGAGCACCGACGTCCCGGTGACCATCGGGTTCCTGCAGAGGGACGGGGTGACGGGGTCACCATTGGTGAGCAATACGTTTTTCTGACTAACTCAATATTATTATTATTATTATATCACAGCTGCACCGTTTTAAGCCTTAGAGTTCACGGGTATACAACTGCCTTTCTTGATTGTTGAGTGAAATAATAAACTTCATCAAATGCCAGAAACATCTTCAAAACGCACGCACACACAGTTGTATATTAGTAATAATGAACTCAGATCATATATTGAAATTAAAATGGTTATTATAACTCTATACTGAAAGGTGTTATTCTATGTCTTGCTCTTGCATATATGTATGTAGGATATAAATAACGTCGCTTTACTCGGGAACAACAATTCTGTCCCCTTCGTTTGTCCTTAGATGTATTGTTGATGAAAGATGTTGCTATGCTAAGTGACTCGGAGGCGGCTAGGTAGCGCAGCTAACAGTTAGTCAGCACAACTGGAGGGATGTAAACAAAGTGCCACATTTAACGCAGTTAACGGATACACGCGGACTATATTTATTAGTTACGTTCATCACTAAAGTTTTAAAATAGCTCTTCGCGTTTAAACGGCAGAGATGACAGTTAGCTTAGCAATAGCTAGCTACCGCTTCTCCATGATGATGCAGCACTGCGGCGGAGCAGCTACCGAAACCGACAGCTTCGGTTCGGTTCGGTTCCCCGGTCCGTCGGAGCTGGTCACTCACAGTGTGTGTGTGATGGGCCCGCATGACGTGGCCGGTCCGGTACCGGGAAGTGAGTAGAACTGTCCGGGCTTTGGTCCGTCCTCCCAGAAACTCAACTTCAAGCCGCTTGACTCCATGTTGGAAAATACCTGCAGGAAGTGACGACACAGCGGCGTCTTGTTTGGATGAACTAGGCTGACGTCATGCGGCGGCGCTCTGCCGCCGCCTGCTGCTGCTGGTGTGAATTACACACTGTTGAAGATCGTTCAATTAAATTTACATGAAAAGTATTTTATTATAACTTCGTCAGTATCTCGATTTGAAATAACAGTCTGATTTCACAGTCATTCAATTCCACTCAATTTATTTTATTTTGTGGCGCACAGAGAGGGTGCGTTCAAAGCCTGCCTAAGTGTCCCTGAGCATGACACTCAACCCCTAACTGCTCCCCGGGGAAATGTAAACCTTGTGTTAAAAATGTATTGTAAGTCGCTTTGGATAAAAGCGTCAGCTAAATGACATCTAATGTGATTTCATTTTGTACAGCCCATAATCACACATTCGCCTCAGATGGCTCAGCGGTCTCTAGACATGTGACAGTCTCTGTCCCGAAGCACTCACATCAACACAGGAAAACTTTCCCAAAAATAAAAGAAACCTTCCACGGGAGAATAAAGGTGGTGTCATTGAAACCTTTGATTCCCTCGGTTGAGGATCCTCCTGGAAACGCTGGATTGTATTTCATCGTTTCAAGATCCCACCAGAGCATCGACGTGATCAGAGGATGACAAGTGGACATCTTGAATTACGGCGGTCAGCATCTTTTTTTATCAACCAGTGAACAGGAAGTCACCGCATCTGTACTGAGCAGGATGTAGATACCTGTCAATCCGCGTGTAGCCCCGCCCTAAAGCATCCCCTGCTTTATGGTCTGTTGACTCCAAATGAACATCATCTGTATTGAAGAAGACTTGAAACTAGAGACTGAGACCATAAACTCATGTTTACAATGTTTACTGAGGGAATAAATCAAGAGAGAAGTAGAGTCATTTCCTCATAGACGTCTATGGGAGCAGAGGAGTCGCCCCCTGCTGGTCACTACAGAGAAGTAGAGTCATTTCCTCATAGACGTCTATGGGAGCAGAGGAGTCGCCCCCTGCTGGTCACTACAGAGAAGTAGAGTCATTTCCTCATAGACGTCTATGGGAGCAGAGGAGTCGCCCCCTGCTGGTCACTACAGAGAAGTAGAGTCATTTCCTCATAGACGTCTATGGGAGCAGAGGAGTCGCCCCCTGCTGGTCACTACAGAGGAGTAGAGTCATTTCCTCATAGACGTCTATGGGAGCAGAGGAGTCGCCCCCTGCTGGTCACTACAGAGAAGTAGAGTCATTTCCTCATAGACGTCTATGGGAGCAGAGGAGTCGCCCCCTGCTGGTCACTGCAGAGAAGTAGAGTCATTTCCTCATAGACGTCTATGGGAGCAGAGGAGTCGCCCCCTGCTGGTCACTACACAGAATGCAGTGTGGATGGAATACGGAGAGAGGGAAAGCTCTTATTGAAGGATTTACTCCTGTATCATATATGAGCTGTGTGTCGACTTTGGTTCCTGATTCAACTGTTTTAAGTGAAGATGTCCAATTAGCCGCATGACACTCAAAGCTCTGGGTCGCACGATCTGTTGATGGCGATGTGTTTTCATTGGGTGTTTGTTCGAAGCATCAAGAGGTTTCATTCGACTCATTGATGTTTCTGCTCCACTGAGCGTCTTAGCCCCGCTACCATGGTCGCTATAGCAGCAGCCCACATGGGCCACCACCGCGACGTGGATTTGAATGCGAATGTTCATCTATTCTACTTTTTGAGCAGGTTCGTGATAAACCCCCACCCCTCCACACGGAGGTGCTCCACAGGTAATGTCTTTCATTAAATCAGGAATAAAAAACAGACAGAAGACGTTAGAAGTTTTGAGACACTTTCCTCTCTTTACTTTGAAATATTCATGGAAGTTGTATCAAATATCATAAGCCCCTCTCCTTCGGCGCAGAAAGCTAGAGAGACAAAGAGGAGAAATGAGTTCAGTCTGTTGTCACACATCTTCACACTTTGATCCGACAGGTTCAAAAAGTGAAGCACCGTTATCGGGGTTGTGGGTAAAGTCTGGTTCTCTGGAGAAGCCGAGGCAGCTCGCCTGCTTCCTGAAATGTTCCCGGTCGGAGTCCTTCAGAGTTGTTTCTCTTGCTGGAGACAAAGCATCAAGCAGTTAATGTGTGCGATACAACACGTGTCTATGTAGGTTCTCTCTGGCCGGTTCCTTCCTACCCATCAGATACAGAGCACGGACGTTGAACTCCTCCGCTGTATCGTTGCCGACGATGTTCACCATTCTCACAATCTTGTCCAGGTCTCTGATGGTTGATTCAAAGCTAAAGACAAGAAAGCCCTCGAGCCCGGGTAGGATTTGGACCACCGAGGTGCTGTTGAGCTCTGACGACAGAAAGAAAATCCTGAACATCCGTGATGATGAAAAGATCAAGTCAGCCATGCTGCGCTGGAGCTAAATGCTAAATGCTACAAGATGCTGACGTTCAATGCTACCCTGTTGACCACAGGTCCCAGGCTCCGCCCACCGGATCTGCTTAATTCATGTGTTTCTGTGAGAGCACGTCGGAAAAGGTCATGAATGCATCTGGTTAATTAAGAATGTCAATGAAGCCTCAGCAGAAGTCTGATCCTTGACGTGTCCGTCACCCACAGCTGCTCTACATTCAAGCCCCTGGAATCAGCAGGAGGATGCGCGAGATGAATCGGCCGCTTTTAAATAGTAACCAAGACGCAGAACCTCCATTTTGTGTTGATCAGGGAACTTACGTGAAGAGGATCCTGTGTTGCCGTCAATGGTTAGGTTGACCTTTGAGAGCAAACAGGTTCCATTTCTGAGAAGAGACACAGAGGTGAGACGTCTTATCCTCTGCTGGAGCTCAAACAAGAGTTTACTATCAATACAAATATAGCTTTCTCATCCTTCAAGTGGAGACAGCATCATAAAATGGTGTCCCAATGCTAGGAAACCACATCTGTAAAAGAATATTGTCTGTTGGTTAACATTTCTCTCAACATTAACAAGCCATTGTTTGAGAAACCTCATTCTGAGGATCCTGTAAAGTACACGTGTACCTTGTAGGCCGCGTACTTTATCAAAGGGGAATGAACTGATGTAACTTTACTGTGATATACGAGTCAGCGAGTCTGATCTAATCTATCAGTAACTAGATCCCTCATGTCGTGTGTACGTTGGATGAACTCACATCCTGTTGTGCTGAAACAAGATGTGAGTATTTGGGCTGGATGGTGACTGGCTGATGGTCGACCACAAGCTCTGGGTTTTCCTCAGGATGTTGTTGAGTATTTCCTTGTCGGTGTAACCCAGCATCAGGTTGGTCCTGCCGTACATCTGCACACAAACACAGGTCAGTCCAGATGTTGGACCTCTGGAATCGTGAACTGGTTGTCTTCGGGATATTTGACAAAACCTTTTCAGCACATTTCAAACTTTCATTCAATGGAAAAATGAGTTAGTCAGTGAGCCGTCCTGAAGGGAGGCAGGAGCCGAACCCAACGTGTACCGACTATGACATTTATATTCCTCCCTAGGTGTTACACCGGAAATGGTGAACGACACCCAATAGCTTTTTGACAGTGTGTTGAAGATCAAATTAAACATTAGCGGAGGTCCTCGGCATGAAGGAAAGACTGGAGGTTTGGACTAAATAATAAAGTGTGATATTTTGATTATAATGATCTTTTTATCTGTGATTTAGTTCAGCATGTTATTCAGTTTGACATTTGGTAAAATAATGTCTGATTGTAAATGTTGGGTTGTTTTTCCATCACATGTATCTGCAAATGAATGACAGATACAAATTGGTAATTAGTGATTTTGGGGAATTGAATAGATGTCGACCGCCTTCACTTCTTTGATGAATGGATTACAAAGTTGAGTTACTTTGAATAATCAGACATTTAGGTGTATTTTAACAATACTTACAGTTTTATAATAGTTTTTACACAATCCTCAAAGAAAGTTCTATCCACTGAAAGATTAACATATTAGGTTTATCTTCTGACCAGGTGGCATTCATGTCCTTCTCCAAACACATGCTAGCTGGACAGAAGACGCTAACGGCACAAACTGAACTAAACAGTTGAATCCCGGTTGAGGCCAAATAGTGGTCCCACAGAGGCTCACCACGGTGGGGTCCGCCAGCGACAGAGGCGTGATCAAAGGCCGGCATTCCTCAGGGGTCGGAGCCGCGCCGCTCAGAAGCAGCCCGGCTAGCAGGAGATGAAGGCCGAGCCACAGGTTCATGGTGCTCCAGGTGATCAGCTTCAGAGCAGAGAGGAACACGGAGATCTCAGATGAACCAGGGACCAAGGACTGAGCCTCATGTGGGCCGAGCAGCTTTTAAAAGACTCCTGGTGGCTGTTTTCTTTTTACAGCGATTACAAACTATAACCCTTTCCCCTCGTGGACGAAATGCTGGCCAGCATCCCGGGGGGAATTCCGCAGGCAGGACACTGTTTGGCTTGTCAATAATACATGACACATTGTTGGGTAGACCTTGGACTACATCACCTACAAATACACAGAGCAGCAAGCCCAAAGATAAGAAAACGATTTTACTTGGAAGAAAATAGCGATCGAAGGAGAGTCCAAAGTGAGCGACTCCAAATCCAAAGAAAACCAGAAGAACAGGATGTGGCAATAAAACGCAACAGAAAATAATCCACCAAATACCTACAGTGCACCTTGTTACGTCCCTGTTGGTAGCCTGTGTATACTTGTCTTTCAGTGTTTTGGAGCCCAGCAGGAGGCTTAATTGATGGTTCATCAGCTAACAGAGAACTGGAGTTATGTTGACTCCAAGAACAATCCAGCTGATGACCTGACGTGGGGCAAAACCCTCCTAGAGCTTCATCAGCGAAAGAGATGGAGCCAAGATCCCCCATTCCTCTCACTCAACAACAGCCATTGGCCAGCCCGTCCATCTTTGCCAGCTGAATTGCAGCCTGTGGAGGAGCTAAGGGGCTATTATGTGGTGCAGTAATGTTAAATGATGCAAACCTTCCTGATCCAAACAAGTTCAGCACCTGGGACCATCTGGTGAGGGAAACAAAGTACATGCTTCAGGGGGCGGCAGATCATATCCCAAACACAGCCCAATGTTCTATGAATTCAGAAAGGCATCATCAACGAGCCCAATCCGAATGTTTCCCCGAGGAATGCAATGCCCTTAAAACGCATACCGAAGAGTAGCAAACTACTCCCCCTGTCTGGTCTGAGTACGACAACCTTGACCTCATCAGAGTGGGAGGTCGACTTTGAAGAGCGCAGACCCTTAACTTTGATAACATCCATCCGATTGTATTGGATCGGAAACATCCCATAACCAGCCTCATCATCAGAGATCAACCAGGGCCTGAGCGTCTTAGCCCATAATCACACATTCGCCTCAGATGGCTTAGCGGTCTCTAGACATGTGACAGTCTCTGTCCCGAAGCACTCACATCAACACAGGAAAACTTTCCCAAAAATAAAAGAAACCTTCCACGGGAGAATAAAGGTGGTGTCATTGAAACCTTTGATTCCCTCGGTTGAGGATCCTCCTGGAAACGCTGGATTGTATTTCACTGTTTCAAGATCCCACCAGAGCATCGACGTGATCAGAGGATGACAGGTGGACGTTTGGGGCCGCCATCTTGAATTACGGCGGTCAGCATCTTCTTTTATCAACCAGTGAACAGGAAGTCACCGCATCTGTACTGAGCAGGATGTAGATACCTGTCAATCCGCGTGTAGCCCCGCCCTAAAGCATCCCCTGCTTTATGGTCTGTTGACTCCAAATGAACATCATTTGTATTGAAGAAGACTTGAAACTAGAGACTGAGACCATAAACTCATGTTTACAATGTTTACTGAGGGAATAAATCAAGAGAGAAGTAGAGTCATTTCCTCATAGACGTCTATGGGAGCAGAGGAGTCGCCCCCTGCTGGTCACTACAGAGAAGTAGAGTCATTTCCTCATAGACGTCTATGGGAGCAGAGGAGTCGCCCCCTGCTGGTCACTACAGAGAAGTAGAGTCATTTCCTCATAGACGTCTATGGGAGCAGAGGAGTCGCCCCCTGATGGTCACTACAGAGAAGTAGAGTCATTTCCTCATAGACGTCTACGGGAGCAGAGGAGTCGCCCCCTGCTGGTCACTACAGAGAAGTAGAGTCATTTCCTCATAGACGTCTATGGGAGCAGAGGAGTCGCCCCCTGCTGGTCACTACAGAGAAGTAGAGTCATTTCCTCATTGATGTCTATGGGAGCAGAGGAGTCGCCCCCTGCTGGTCACTACAGAGAAGTAGAGTCATTTCCTCATAGACGTCTATGGGAGCAGAGGAGTCGCCCCCTGCTGGTCACTACAGAGAATGCAGTGTGGATGGAATACGGAGAGAGGGAAAGCTCTTATTGAAGGATTTACTCCTGTATCATATATGAGCTGTGTGTCGACTTTGGTTCCTGATTCAACTGTTTTAAGTGAAGATGTCCAATTAGCCGCATGACACTCAAAGCTCTCGGTCGCACGATCTGTTGATGGCGATGTGTTTTCATTGGGTGTTTGTTCGAAGCATCAAGAGGTTTCATTCGACTCATTGATGTTTCTGCTCCACTGAGCGTTTTAGCCCCGCTACCATGGTCGCTATAGCAGCAGCCCACATAAAAAGGGCCGCTACCGCGACGTGGATTTGAATGCGAATGTTCATCCATTCTACTTTTTGAGCAGGTTCGTGATAAACCCCCACCCCCCCACACGCAGGTGCTCCACAGGTAATGTCTTTCATTAAATCAGGAATAAAAAACAGACAGAAGACGTTAGAAGTTTTGAGACACTTTCCTCTCTTTACTTTGAAATATTCATGGAAGTTGCATCAAATATCATAAGCCCCTCTCCTTCGGCGCAGAAAGCTAGAGAGACAAAGAGGAGAAATGAGTTCAGTCTGTTGTCACACATCTTCACACTTTGATCCGACAGGTTCAAAAGGTGAAGCACCGTTATCGGGGTTGTGGGTAAAGTCTGGTTCTCTGGAGAAGCCGAGGCAGCTCGCCTGCTTCCTGAAATGTTCCCGGTCGGAGTCCTTCAGAGTTGTTTCTCTTGCTGGAGACAAAGCATCAAGCAGTTAATGTGTGCGATACAACACGTGTCTATGTAGGTTCTCTCTGGCCGGTTCCTTCCTACCCATCAGATACAGAGCACGGACGTTCAACTCCTCCGCTGTATCGTCGCCGACGATGTTCACCATTCTCACAATCTTGTCCAGGTCTCTGATGGTTGATTCAATGCTAAAGACAAGAAAGCCCTCGAGCCCGGGTAGCATTTGGACCACCGAGGTGATGTTGAGGTCTGACGACAGAAAGAAAATCCTGAACATCCGTGATGATGAAAAGATCCAAGTCAGCCATGCTGCGCTGGAGCTAAATGCTAAATGCTACAAGATGCTGACGTTCAATGCTACCCTGTTGACCACAGGTCCCAGGCTCCGCCCACCGGATCTGCTTAATTCATGTGTTTCTGTGAGAGCACGTCGGAAAAGGTCATGAATGCATCTGGTTAATTAAGAATGTCAATGAAGCCTCAGCAGAAGTCTGATCCTTGACGTGTCCGTCACCCACAGCTGCTCTACATTCAAGCCCCTGGAATCAGCAGGAGGATGCGCGAGATGAATCGGCCGCTTTTAAATAGTAACCAAGACGCAGAACCTCCATTTTGTGTTGATCAGGGACCTTACGTGAAGAGGATCCTGTGTTGCCGTCAATGGTTAGGTTGACCTTTGAGAGCAAACAGGTTCCATTTCTGAGAAGAGACACAGAGGTGAGACGTCTTATCCTCTGCTGGAGCTCAAACAAGAGTTTACTATCAATACAAATATAGCTTTCTCATCCTTCAAGTGGAGACAGCATCATAAAATGGTGTCCCAATGCTAGGAAACCACATCTGTAAAAGAATATTGTCTGTTGGTTAACATTTCTCTCAACATTAACAAGCCATTGTTTGAGAAACCTCATTCTGAGGATCCTGTAAAGTACACGTGTACCTTGTAGGCCGCGTACTTTATCAAAGGGGAATGAACTGATGTAACTTTACTGTGATATACGAGTCAGCGAGTCTGATCTAATCTATCAGTAACTAGATCCCTCATGTCGTGTGTACGTTGGATGAACTCACATCCTGTTGTGCTGAAACAAGATGTGAGTATTTGGGCTGGATGGTGACTGGCTGATGGTCGACCACAAGCTCTGGGTTTTCCTCAGGATGTTGTTGAGTATTTCCGTGTCGGTGTAACCCAGCATCAGGTTGGTCCTGCCGTACATCTGCACACAAACACAGGTCAGTCCAGATGTTGGACCTCTGGAATCGTGAGCTGGTTGTCTTCGGGATATTTGACAAAACCTTTTCAGCACATTTCAAACTTTCATTCAATGGAAAAATGAGTTAGTCAGTGAGCCGTCCTGAAGGGAGGCAGGAGCCGAACCCAACGTGTACCGACTATGACATTTATATTCCTCCCTCGGTGTTACACCGGAAATGGTGAACGACACCCAATAGCTTTTTGACAGTGTGTTGAAGATCAAATTAAACATTAGCGGAGGTCCTCGGCATGAAGGAAAGACTGGAGGTTTGGACTAAATAATAAAGTGTGATATTTTGATTATAATGATCTTTTTATCTGTGATTTAGTTCAGCATGTTATTCAGTTTGACATTTGGTAAAATAATGTCTGATTGTAAATGTTGGGTTGTTTTTCCATCACATGTATCTGCAAATGAATGACAGATACAAATTGGTAATTAGTGATTTTGGGGAATTGAATAGATGTCGACCGCCTTCACTTCTTTGATTAATGGATTACAAAGTTGAGTTACTTTGAATAATCAGACATTTAGGTGTATTTTAACAATACTTACAGTTTTCTAATAGTTTTTACACAATCCTCAAAGAAAGTTCTATCCACTGAAAGATTAACATATTAGGTTTATCTTCTGACCAGGTGGCATTCATGTCCTTCTCCAAACACATGCTAGCTGGACAGAAGACGCTAACGGCACAAACTGAACTAAACAGTTGAATCCCGGTTGAGGCCAAATAGTGGTCCCACAGAGGCTCACCACGGTGGGGTCCGCCAGCGACAGAGGCGTGATCAAAGGCCGGCATTCCTCAGGGGTCGGAGCCGCGCCGCTCAGAAGCAGCCCGGCTAGCAGGAGATGAAGGCCGAGCCACAGGTTCATGGTGCTCCAGGTGATCAGCTTCAGAGCAGAGAGGAACACGGAGATCTCAGATGAACCAGGGACCAAGGACTGAGCCTCATGTGGGCCGAGCAGCTTTTAAAAGACTCCTGGTGGCTGTTTTTTTTTTACAGCGATTACAAACTACAACCCTCTCCCCTCGTGGACGAAATGCTGGCCAGCATCCCGGGGGGAATTCCGCAGGCAGGACACTGTTTGGCTTGTCAATAATACATGACACATTGTTGGGTAGACCTTGGACTACATCACCTACAAATACACAGAGCAGCAAGCCCAAAGATAAGAAAACGATTTTACTTGGAAGAAAATAGCGATCGAAGGAGAGTCCAAAGTGAGCGACTCCAAATCCAAAGAAAACCAGAAGAACAGGATGTGGCAATAAAACGCAACAGAAAATAATAGGGTAAATCCACCAAGTACCTACAGTGCACCTTGTTACGTCCCTGTTGGTAGCCTGTGTATACTTGTCTTTCAGTGTTTTGGAGCCCAGCAGGAGGCTTAATTGATGGTTCATCAGCTAACAGAGAACTGGAGTTATGTTGACTCCAAGAACAATCCAGCTGATGACCTGACGTGGGGCAAAACCCTCCTAGAGCTTCATCAGCGAAAGAGACGGAGCCAAGATCCCCCATTCCTCTCACTCAACAACAGCCATTGGCCAGCCCGTCCATCTTTGCCAGCTGAATTGCAGCCTGTGGAGGAGCTAAGGGGCTATTATGTGGTGCAGTAATGTTAAATGATGCAAACCTCCCTGATCCAAACAAGTTCAGCACCTGGGACCATCTGGTGAGGGAAACAAAGTACATGCTTCAGGGGGCGGCAGATCATATCCCAAACACAGCCCAATGTTCTATGAATTCAGAAAGGCATCATCAACGAGCCCAATCCGAATGTTTCCCCGAGGAATGCAATGCCCTTAAAACGCATACCGAAGAGTAGCAAACTACTCCCCCTGTCTGGTCTGAGTACGACAACCTTGACCTCATCAGAGTGGGAGGTCGACTTTGAAGAGCGCAGACCCTTAACTTTGATAACATCCATCCAATTGTATTGGATCGGAAACATCCCATAACCAGCCTCATCATCAGAGAGCACCCAGGCTCTGAGCGTCTTAGCCCATAATCACACATTCGCCTCAGATGGCTTAGCGGTCGTCTAGACATGTGACAGTCTCTGTCCCGAAGCACTCACCATCAACACAGGAAAACTTTCCCAGAAAATCCCAAAATGGCAAACCTTCCACGGGAGAATCAAAGGTGGTGTCATTGAAACCTTTGATTCCCTCGGATTGAGGATCCTCCTGGAAACGCTGGATTGTATTTCATCGTTTCAAGATCCCACCAGAGCATCGACTGTGATCAGAGGATGACAGGTGGACGTTTGGGGCCGCCATCTTGAATTACGGCGGTCAGCATCTTCTTTTATCACACACAGTGAACAGGAAGTTCACCGCATCTGTACTGAGCAGGATGTAGATATCCTGTCAATCCGCGTGTAGCCCCGCCCTAAAGCATCCAACCTGCTTTATGGTCTGTTGACTCCAAATGAACATCATTTGTATTGAAGAAGACTTGAAACTAGAGACTGAGACCATGAAACTCATGTTGACAATGTTTACTGAGGGAATAAATCAAGAGAGAAGTAGAGTCATTTCCTCATAGACGTCTATGGGAGCAGAGGAGTCGCCCCCTGCTGGTCACTACAGAGAAGTAGAGTGGTTTCCTCATAGACGTCTATGGGAGCAGAGGAATCGCCCACGGCTGAACAAACAGCAAAGTTAATGAAACCTTGTTTCCTATTGGTTTGTGGCTCTAGTTGAACATTGAATCCACTACATAGAGCTTACGCTGAATGTACTTTCCCGAAGTGATTTTGTGTTTGTCGACTCTGCGTGGTGAAGTATTTGATCACTCAGTTTCAGCAGTATTTGCTTTGTGGCTCTTTGCTGGTCCAAAGGTAGATTCAGGCTACGGTTTCAGCTGTTGGCTGTTTTCTCCTCTGCCACCAACGCATACAAGTACACATCCAACAAATACTGAGTACACTCAGCAGCATCGGACTACTTCATCCTGCCCGACTGCCCGCCCGTCCCTGTGGCACCGGTGCTGCAGGAGGCTGCGTCGCTTTAGACGCTAGTCTAGAAAAATTTGTTGACACGCGGGTAAAAAAAGCGTGTGAGTGTCTCTCTGAAAACCCGCAACCATAAACTGGGCTTTAAAATGAATCCAACGACAACGAGAAGACGCAGCTGCAGAAGCATGCCAGAGCCTTTAGCCTGCTGCGAAGAATAATCCTGGGTTTAATTCAACCTGCTTTCGTGCAACCAAGTCAAAGCTAAATTCATCAAGGATAACCTGAATATCCCGGCGTAATCCCTCATCCTGGTTTTGTGCAGGGGCCCTCTGATCTTTTGGAATAGCGCACAGGGATGCAGAGGACGTGTGTTTGATGCTCCTGTATGTGGTCTGATTCAGACGTATGATGTGAGACAGTGGTGGGATGGGAAAGAACGGTGATTTAAGCCATTTTGAGCGTGGCGTGGCTGAGTGTTTCACAATCTGCTCACTTACTGGGATTTTCACGCACGACCATTTCTAGGGTTTACAAAGAATGGTGTGAAAAGGGAAAAACATCCCGTATGCGGCAGTCCTGTGGGCGAAGATGCCTTGTTGATGCTAGAGGTCAGAGGTCAGGGGAGAATGGGCCGACTGATTGAAGCTGATAGAAGAGCAACTTTGACCGAGGTGTGCAGCAAAGCATTTGTGAAGCCACAACACGCACAACCTTGAGGCGGATGGGCTAGAACAGCAGAAGACCCCACCGGGTACCACTCATCTCCACTACAAATAGGAAAAAGATGGCAATAAATGTTTCCTGATAAATAACATCAGTAGTCTGTGGCTTTATAACCCGTCCCAGTCTAAAACCGGATCTGCACTAATACGCTGCTCATCTTTTCAAATACACTTCTCAGATTGATTGATCTGGTGAGTAGCAGAGAGGGTTGTTCATCCGTTTGATGGAAATAACATAATAATAATAATAATAATAACTAAATGTAAGCCTCGTTGTCATGTTTTCAGGAGAATGGAACTATTAGAGATAATAAATAATAAAGCCCTCCTCTTGTTCACATCAATGTTTTATAGATGACACTCAACGTGCGTGTGGTCTCCAGTCCAGCAGGTGGCAGCAGGTCGACACGTCGAACCAGACGCTCGTCAGAGAAAAGCTCACTGAGCATGCGCAGAAACTCAACCCGGAAGTGCACCGAGTAAACAACCGCGCGAGCTTCTCCTCGTTCTCCGCCGTCTGCCCTCCGCGCACATGTCCCAGATCGAGATGCTGAGGCTGCTCATCACGCAGCGGCTCACCGCCGCCGCGGAGGAGATCTTCGGCGTGTTCGGAAGAACCATCGCCGACTACGAGGAGCAGATCTCCCGCTCCGAGCTGGAGATCTCCCGCCAGCGACGGCTGCTGGACCTCTCGAGGAAGCCGCGGGTCTCCCTGCGGACGGGTGAGATGCACAGCAGAAGTAGACGTGCATGGAGGCCTTCAGGGTAACGGGTCCTGACTCTTCTTCTCTCTCTCTCAGCTCTCCGCGAGCAGCAGGACTGGAGCTCCGGGCTCAGTGACGCCGAGGCTCCGCCCATCAAGCAGGAGCAGGAGGAGGCGTGGCCGGCTCAGCGGGAGGAGCACAACAACGTCAAGTTCTCCTTCTTCCCGAGCAGCGGCGCTGGAAGCGAGCGGGACGGCGACGAGGAGCCCTCCTCGCCTCCGAGGCTGCGGGACCCGGGCGACTCTGAGCCGGACCCCCTGCCCGGCCCCTCGCTCCAGCCCGACGTCCAGGGTGTGGTTCCGGGGAACGACATGGTGGACTCCTACATCTGCACTGTCTGCAGGCGCGCCTTCGCCCAGCGGGCCCACTGGGCCAAGCACGCGCAGGTGCATCGCGAGGTGGGCGGGGCCAAGGCGGACAAGTCGTACACGTGCGACATCTGCGGGAAAAGACTGACGCGCTTCGACGGCTACCAGAAGCACCTGAGGATCCACACGGGGGAGAAACCCTACCGCTGCTCCCACTGCGGCCGCCGCTTCAGCGACAACTCCAACTACAAGAGGCACGTCCGCACGCACGAGGGGGCGGAGACGGGCTGAGGGGCGTGGCCTCATGCTGGTCCTGCCACTCCTCCTCCGTCAGTCCTCCACAACGGATTCTCTTTCTGAGATTTTTCAGGATGTCAAACGTTTCGCTCGCTTTTGTTTTTATAACCAGATGAACAACGACCGGTCCGGAGGAGGAGGAGGAGGACAATTATATATATTTATATATATAACTTATCACAGATTGAGAGCCTCCCCCCTGCTGCCCGTGTCCCAGCATGCATTGCATTCCTTCACAAGAGAGACCCTTTAAGTCCGCAGCGAGAACAAGAGACCTCAATGATGGAAATAATTTCACATTTGAGCTTTTAGCTTTTTAACCCAAAGCAGAAAAGCCAACTGCCCCCATCATTAGCCCCCCCCCCCCATCATTAGCCCCCCCCCTATCAACCGGAGATGCTGTGAAGCACAATGGCCGACCAGCAGTGAGTAACTGGCGGCGATGCTTCCGACCGAGCCTCCGGTACACGTGGCAGCGGACCTCCTCCGCGAGGTATTTGAGCGATAATCCTTCTTGTCTGTCGCTGTACTGCACCACGTTAACGCTGGAAATAAAATCCTTCCCATCCTCCTCTCAAACCCTGATTGGTGTTTTTAGTTAAATGTTACAACTGAAATAAGCGATCGTCACATTGAAACTTACTTATTGACACATTAAAATAAACGTAACAGGCTGCTTGTCTTCATATCTTCTCCAGCAGTAAAGGAGCTCTGGATTAAAATAGCAGTTCAGCAGGATTTCACTTTCACGCCTTTGACATAAAACCATGATGTGAAAATAAATCATTTTGTGAAGAGACGGTTCTTCCAAACAATGACTAAGAACGTACACGCTAACACTTTAAGAGCAGCATGGTGACAATAATTACTTATAAATTGACTCATCAGAATATAACGACTGAAGAGCAGCATTCTGAAGCCCTTTGGATGCTCTTGAGGAGGAAAGTACCCTGGAACCTTTTCTGTGGTCTTTTAACATTCTCAGGGGTTAAAAATCTTTTAGAACCATAACAATCCAGAACTCCTGAAGCTCAACTGGTGGAGCCCAGAATCCTGAGCCTCGATACAGCAGGAGATGAGTTTGTTAGCTGCTGGCTCAGTGGAGGCAGATATTCATGCTCTGAGTTCAGTAGTTCAGATGCCTTCAGGAGACCTGTGGGACCTCTCATGGATTCCTAATCCGCAGAAACCCAAGTGACCTCATGAAGAAGACGGGACCAGAGAACCATCGAACTAAAGTGAAGGTTACATCCTCATACAAAACGCCTCTTTTAATAAAAGAAGCTTCCTCTCCTCCTGGGGAGTGGGGGGCTTTACTCCAACATGGTGGGAGCTTCCGATAAATCCAATAAATAATGATTTTATTTGTGTAAAGAGGTGTTGATAACAAACAGTCTTCTACATTGGTTCATTTTCACGTCGGTAACTTGAAAATGAATAAAGAGACGACCTTCTTCCCTTTATGCCTTTATTAGTCTAAATATCATTTTATACCAACTTGTCGTCTGTTCGATCTGAGACACTTCTCTAAATAAAAGGATTCTCCAGCGCACAAATCAGCACTTTTTATATTCAGACTTTTTGAATAATTAGTGGTAAACAGAAGAAGCTGATCTGCGATCAGTGATGTCATCGCTGTGCTAGGACAGCAGCCCCCCCCACGAGGACCTCCACCACGACTCCACCACGACTCCACCGGATACCAATATGGTACAAAGGGGAAAATCCGCAGCGTTTGTCTGGGGGGGACGGGGAAAAAAGGTTCAGTTTCTTTCGGGTGTTCTTTCCCCGGTGCCTGGTAGACCCCCCCCCCCCCCCCCGCCGTCACCGTACTAGTCACATTTTCCCGCCTCTGCTACTGGCGGCGTGGAGGTGTTGGGGAGGAACAGCGGCTTGGGGGGCACGTTGGGTTTGAGGGACGCCGTCCTGCGGACGAGGGCCCGCCGCCCCCCGTGAGGCCCGACGCCGCTGTAGCTGTGCTGCCGCGTCAGGCAGGCGGAGGGGGGGGGCCCGTTACTGCTGCTGTTGGTGTTCATCCTGGCAAGAAAGTGCGCGTGCTGCCCCCCCCGCTGGTTGAAGCTGTGGTGGCGCGGCGCGGCGCCGCCCCCCCCGCCCCCACCACTGCCCATCTTGATGAGCGGGTGGCGCTGGGAGAGGTGTCGATTGGAGGCCTCCCCCCCACCAGGTCCCTCCGGGATCACCTGCTGCTGCAACGGAGTGGAGGAGGGAGGAAGAGCAGGAAGAGGGGATGGAGGTGGAGGAGGTGGGGTTGTTGGAGCAGGAGGAGGCGGAGGAGGAGCAGGAGGAGGAGGAGTTTTGAGCGGGCAGTGTGGAGGTGGAGGTGCTGCGGTACGGAGAAGACTCAGCCCGCTGGTGGTGCTGCCCGCCGTTGTTGTTGTGGTGGTTGCTATGGTGATGGCTTCGGCTGGAGTGGTGGGTGCGGGTGTGTCCGTGGAGGCTGGTGTTGTGATGAGGAGGAGGGAGTTGCTGGTGGGTGGACAAGGAGGTCCCGGGGAACAGGGAGCAGGAGGAGGTGGAGGTGAGGACCTTGATGCCTCCGGTCCCCGAGGCGCTGACCTCGTGGATGTGTTTGAGCAGCTCGTCCAGCGCCGACACGTCCGCCGCCGCCTGGGGGAGGGACTGATGGGAGTGGTGGTGTGGGGGGGCTCCGCCTCCTGCCGTCTCTCGCTCCTCACTCAGGACCCGCCTGTCCTCGGGGAGGTGCAGCGAGGTAGAGGAGGCGCCCGCCCCACAGGCCGCCCCGTTGCTCAAGTGGTCGTCACGGTGATGAGCGAAGGGAAACACCTGCTGAGCCACAGAGTTCCCCACAAAGGCCACGAAGCCCGGACCGGACCCTAACCCGCCGGGACCAAGTCCGGCTTGGGCTTCCTTGGTGGTGTTGTGGTTCTGGTTCTGGTGGTTCCCCGCGGCCCTCATGCTCTTGGGGACGGGGAGCTCTGGGGTGCAGCCGGGTGTAGGCAGACCGGACAGCTCTCCGTCAGCCTGAGACTAAACAGAGAGGCATGGTTATGCTCTGTGAGGTCAGAGGTCATCGTCGTATGGTCTGTGGGGTCAGAGGTCATCTTGATGTTCAGAAGAACCATTGGACACATGGAGGATGTTTTAGGGGAAGCCATATATGGAGGCAGTTTAGTCATTTATAATAAGGGGAGAAGAAGAAACCTCTAGTGACATCATTATGATGTCATACCTGGGAGAGGCTGAGGTCAGGGTCCCCCAGCTGCAGGCCCTGGTGGGCGGGGTCGTGGAGGTAAGGCTCCGCCTGCCCGTTGGGGATGAAGGAGCCGCACATCCTCAGAGGGGACACCTCCAGCTTCTCCTCCTGCACCACCACGACACCACAGAAGAAGAGCAGAGAAACAAGGGGTCAGTCAAACCAGATGAGAACCGCCCCACAATGCAACGCTCCAGTTGACAAAGACAAGTAAAGTATATGAAAGTGTGTTTCATCATTTTATCTTCTGTCTTCGGTTTGGTTCATTTGAGAGGAGTTTATGACTGATTCTGTAAAAAGGCTCCTCCCATCAGCCTCCAGAGGCTCCACCCACCTTGGGCTGCCCATCCAGCAGGCCGTTGAGCTTGGCCAGCGATCGCAGTGACAGAGCGTGCGGCAGTGTCAGGGCGTGCGGCAGCGACACCTCGGGGTCCTTCCCGTGTCCCCCTTCCCGCCGGGCGCCACCGCGGCCGCAGTAGTGCGAGGCTAGAAAGCCTGACAGGAGGGCGCCCAGAGAGAAGGCCACCAGCACGCAGGCGATCAGCAGCGTGTAGTGGACCTCGGACACGGAACGCTGCTCCGCCTCCGGGAGGCGCCGGACGCCTGCAACGCCTGTTGGGGGAAGCAGGAAGCACAATAAATTCTCCTATTTCTCTGCTTGTATTTTAGCTGGCAAAGGCCTGATCCCTTCACTGGTAACCAGTCCTCTCCCTTCACTGGTAACCAGTCCTCTCCCTTCACTGGTTACCAGTCCTCTCCCTTCACTGGTTACCAGTCATCTCCTTCCACTGGTTACCAGTCCTCTCCCTTCACTGGTAATCAGTCCTCTCCCTTCACTGGTTACTAGTCCTCTCCCTTTACTGGTTACCAGTCATCTCCTTCCACTGGTTACCAGTCCTCTCCCTTCACTGGTTACTAGTCCTCTCCCTTCACTGGTTACCAGTCATCTCCTTCCACTGGTTACCAGTCCTCTCCCTTCACTGGTTACCAGTCCTCTCCCTTCACTGGTTACTAGTCCTCTCCCTTCACTGGTTACTAGTTATCTCCTTCCACTGGTTACCAGTCCTCTCCCTTCACTGGTTACTAGTCCTCTCCCTTCACTGGTTACTAGTTATCTCCTTCCACTGGTTACCAGTCCTCTCCCTTCACTGGTTACTAGTCCTCTCCCTTCACTGGTTACTAGTCCTCTCCCTTCACTGGTTACTAGTTATCTCCTTCCACTGGTTACCAGTCCTCTCCCTTCACTGGTTACTAGTCCTCTCCCTTCACTGGTTACCAGTCCTCTCCCTTCACTGGTTACCAGTCCTCTCCCTTCACTGGTTACTAGTCCTCTCCCTTCACTGGTTACTAGTCATCTCCTTCCACTGGTTACCAGTCCTCTCCCTTCACTGGTTACCAGTCCTCTCCCTTCACTGGTTACTAGTCCTCTCCCTTCACTGGTTACTAGTCCTCTCCCTTCACTGGTTACCAGTCATCTCCCTCCACTGGTTACCAGTCATCTCCCTTCACTGGTTACTAGTCCTCTCCCTTCACTGGTTACCAGTCCTCTCCCTTCACTGGTTACTAGTCCTCTCCTTTCACTGGTTACTAGTCATCTCCTTTCACTGGTTACCAGTCCTCTCCCTTTCACTGGTTACCAGTTCTCTCCCTTCACTGGGTACCAGTCCTCTCCTTCCACTGGTTACCAGTCCTCTCCCTTCACTGGTTACTAGTCATCTCCCTCCACGGGGTACCAGTCCTCTCCCGTTCACTGGGTACTAGTCCTCTCCTATCACTGGTACCAAGTCCTCTCCCTTCACTGGTTACCAGTCCTCTCCTTTTACTGGTTACCAGGTCCTCTCCCTTCCATTGGTTACAAGTCATCTCCTTCCACTGGTTACCAGTCCCTCTCCCTTCACGGGTACCAGCCATCTCCCTTCACTGGTTACCAGTCCTCTCCCTTTACTGGTTACCGGTCCTCTCCCTTCACTGGTTACTAGTCCTCTCCCTTCACTGGTTACCAGTCCTCTCCCTTCACTGGTTACCAGTCCTCTCCCTTCACTGGTTACAATTACAAACATACAAAATCAAACAGGAAACAAACCGTGACACTAATGTTTTGATGAGTAAAAGCAGTGATACTTCTTACCGAAGGACAAGTCGGCTGCAGGCTCCTGTTTCCAAGCAGTCGCCGACAATTCAGCTGCAAAAAACAACAAAAACCACGCTCACATTTTGCAGAACCAACCAATCTTGTCCTCAGGCCTGAAGACACATTGAGTCTCATGGAGTCTCATGGAGTCTTAAGGTGTCACATGGGCTCTCATGGAGTCTCGTGGCTCCTCATGGTGTCACGTGGAGTCTCAGGTGGTCATGAGTGGGTTTGACTTACTGTGGCAGCTGACTGGGGCAGAAGGGATGTTGGGACCGTCCACGTCCTGCTCGAACCCGGCCCTGCAGGGACACAAAGGACGGGGGTGCGAGTTAAAGACAACCTGTTGCCACTGGTTACGTCCCCGGGGGATGGATGACGCACACAGAGAAGGAGTTAAGATGTGAGGTTAACTAGACCGTGTCACGTAGTTCATCCTCTACCTTAAGGGGGGGGGCATTCACCTCAGCTCTGGTTAACGAGGACTTGAACCTGGATTTGGATTCTTCTTCTGGGTCCACATCCAAATCAGGCGGCTCCCCTTAGCTTATTAAAACAAGCTAACAATAATTGTGGTTTTACAGACTCGCTGAGGCGTCCAAGGGATCTGTAACTTTGATCGGCTGGGTCTCGGACCCCTGGTATCACACCCTCAGTCCTCTGCTCCATAGACTATAAGACATAGTCTATGAGACTCGACTTCTCTCTTGATTTATTCCCTCAGTAAACATTGTAAACATGAGTTTATGTTCTCCTCAGTACAAATATAGTATTCCATGTCGACGGCAAAATCTCATAACTTTGAAACGTCCACAAACCTTTATCTCATCCACGTCATCATGAACCAGAGAGTTCGACCACAACAGGTCATTGTTGAGCCAAACGTACAGCACCTGCTCACGTTGATCACTGCACACTCAATGTAACGCGTTGGATTTTGCACAACCAGCTTTTAGCTCGGTGACGATCGCCGAAAAAAAACGGAAATCCCACAAATGATCAGTTTGATCGGTTTGATCGGTTTGGGGCATCGTGAGCTTTCGCAACCGGCCAATGAAGGTGGAGGTCATGAGCGATGTGAATGATGATGTGAGACCCGATGCTGTTTACACGTACGGGGACTATTTGTCTCTGACTACTGAAATGAGACACGTTTGGTGGTAAAAGGACGTCTCTTGTAACAGCTCTCCAACGTTCCAAACACTGTCCACGGCCTGGAGACGGGTTACTTGTTGGTGAGGACACCTGTCGTACACCTTCGCCTCCATGAGGAGAAGAGTTCCTCAGTCGGGTTGAGGAAAGGAGCGTATGGGGGCAAATACAGGCTGGTAGATTGTGCATGAAAACATGCGTGCACCATTTCAGCTTGTGGAAGCACACAATGACATCATCACACCATCATCATCATCATCATCATCAGGGAAGGTTACGAGGAGAGCTGCATCACATGAGCCAACGGGAGCCCTGCGCCCGACCACACATCCTGGGGTCTTGGCAGAATTGGTCAAGTAATTAGAAAGGCGGCAGCGTGGGGTCAAAGGTCGTACATGGGACGCTAGAAACAGTGTCTGATAGAGAACGATGATCAAATATCACATCCACAGATAATGGTCCACGCTAATTAGTGTGAATGGATCTCATTATTTTCAAACCTCATGATCTAAACAATATTGTTAGTCAGCATCCATAAAACTATCCACTAAGGTTTATGCAGCAAATCCTCCTCATGATGAGATGTTCTATCTGTTGATAGTTAGATGACCGTAATCAAATGAATGGACCATCTTTTCAACTGTAACGTAGAATTCGCATTTTGAAATAGTACTTTGATGTCACATTGAGTCACATTGAACCGGTGATTTTAGTTTAATGAACAAGTCATCGTTGGTTTTTGTGGATTGTCCAAACAATTGAAAAAAAAGTGTTTGGCAATTTGATCATTGGTTGTTTTGTATGAAGAGTTTTGAAAAATGGCATCAAGGTTCTGAAAAAGCAAAGTGACTGTAAAAGAACTAAGGAAGACAAAGTGAGACCCACTTGAAGCCGGGCGCCATGTTGGCACAAGTCCCGGTCCGGAGCCAGATGCAGTACGGGTCCCGGGAGGCCAAGCAGGGCTCTGAGGAGAGAGAGGAGAGTTTATCTGGATCTACTGAAACATGTTCCACCATCAGACCCACCCTCAGACCCTCAGACCATCAGACCCTCGGACCCTCAGACCCTAGACATTCAGACCCTTAGAACATCAGACCGTCAGACCCTTAGACTATCAGACCCTAAGACCATGAGGACCCTCAGACCTTCGAACCTTAAACCATAGAACATTCAGACCCTTGAGACTTCAGACGCTTAGACATCAGACCCTTAGACCATGAGACCCTCAGACCCTCAGACCATCAGACCCTTAGACCATGAGACCCTCAGACCCTCAGACCATCAGACCCTTAGACCATGAGACCCTCAGAGGTCTAAGGTTCTAAACACACAGACTCACTTCTACAGGATTGATTTTGTTGCAAAATGAAGTTGTTTAATCGTGTTCAGATCCGTTTGGAATCAACACAAATATGAAGTCTAAGAAGGAGCACATTGAGAAGGAGGAGCAGATGGAGCAGGATGAGCAGCAGGATCATTATAGTGAGGAGGAGAAACAGTGAGGTGGAGGAGCAGACAAAGGAAGAGCAGGTGGAGGAATAGGAGCAGGAGAGTGAGACGGAGCAGGTGGAGGAAGAGGAGCAGCAGAGTGAGACGGAGCAGGTGGAGGAATAGGAGCAGCAGCAGGAGAAGGAGCAGGTGGAGGAAGAGGAGCAGCAGAGTGAGACGGAGCAGGTGGAGGACGAAGAGCAGGAGAGTGAGACGGAGCAGGTGGCGGAAGAGGACCAGCAGAGTGAGAAGGAGCAGGTGGAGGAAAAGAGCAGCAGCAGGAGAAGGAGCAGGTGGTGGAAGAGGAGCAGCAGCAGAAGAAGGAGCAGGTGGAGGAAGAGGAGCAGCAGAATAAGAAGGAGCAGGTGGAGGAAGAAGAGCAGCAGCAGAATGAGAAGGAGCACGTGGAGGAAGGAGGAGCAGAGCAGCAGTGAGAAGGAGCAGGGTGGAGGAAAGAGGAGCAGCAGAGTTGAAGAAGGAGCCAGGGTGGAAGTAGAAAGTGGCCCCTCTCACCTCCCAGCAGGCTCCCGGTGCTTGTGTGCAGCGAGATTGAGCGAGACCCTGATTGACGCAGCTGGAGAAGGCCATGAACAGAGCCTGGGTGGGTCCTTGTCCAGCTCCCAGGTCCAGAACCCTCCTGTCCTCCCTGACCCTGAACGTCACACCTTGCACATAGCGAGAGAAGGTTCAGCAGGTCCTCACTCCAGGAGCAGCGGGTCCCCGTGTCCCCCTCTGGGGTCTCACCTGGACGGGTTGTAGACGTGGATGTCCTCCAGCAGCTTGGACCCCGAGCTGTCATTGGGATGCGTGGAGGCCAGAACCTTGAGGACCCGGCCGTCGTCCGAGCCAAGGAACATGACGGTCCGGTCCTTGTGGGGCCCGGCAGACACGTCCACCACAATCTGGGTCAGCTTCGACCTGCAGGTCAAGAACCGGACCCTCGGTGACTGATTGAGGAACCCTGAGCCCTGCAGATGTTCTTAAATCACCCCTTTATATTCTATTGTTCTAATCTATTCTACTAGGTTTATCAAATCAGATCACCACATTATGTTATGACTCAGAAGGACCCGAGGAGGACACTGACCAGTGATCTAGACTCTGGGCTTCTGATCAAAACACACACATTCGCTCGTCAATGTCTCACTTGACCAATCGTATGGAGCGAGAGGCGGGCCTTCCCTCCAACTTTCTGTTTAGTAGCAGGTAGATGTGGTGGAACCGGTATCGATGTTATTGATCCTGAATGAAGATGAACTACAAAATTAAAGACTAAGAGCTGGATGTCTTTTGATCTTGAGTTTATGGTCTCAGTCTCTGGTTTCAAGTCTTCTTCAATACAGATGATGTTCATTTGGAGTCAACAGACCATAAAGCAGGGGATGCTTTAGGGCGGGGCTACACGCAGATTGACAGGTATCTACATCCTGCTCAGTACAGATGCGGTGACTTCCTGTTCACTGGTTGATAAAAGAAGATGCTGACCGCCGTAATTCAAGATGTCCACTTGTCATCCTCTGATCACGTCGATGCTCTGGTGGGATCTTGAAACAGTGAAATACAATCCAGCGTTTCCAGGAGGATCCTCAGACCAGTTACAAACCCGCCTGCGCTCTGGTCTAGTTACCTGCTGGAGGTTCTGGTGAAGCAGGGCCGGTGGTTGATGGAGGGAACCGCCTCGTCCATCAGAGGATATGACTTGATGAACATCAGCATCTCGTCGGGAAAAAGAACCGAGGAGGTGAAGTCCACCGCCGGGCCGTCCCCCGCACAAGAGCCGGGTCTGGAGGGACAAAGTAGCACAATGAATAACCTTCTTAAATACCTTTCATCTGGATCCTGGTGGTCCTGGATCCGTGAAAGTATCACCTGGGTCTGGGAACCTGCTCGTCGGGGACCGGGGTCCAGGAGGAGTCGCTGGTCCGCTGCTCCTTGAACTTCCCGCTGAAGACCTCCTCGATGTCGTCCATGTAGAAGGCGCAGACAGCCGAGCCGGGGATGCTGCAGAGAGACAGACGGATCTACTCTGTTTGATGTCCATCAAAGAGTTCAGAGACAGATTAAGTATTGAGCTTCATGTGACGGAGACGCTTCACGGGACAGACGTCTCTGCTGGATCGATCTATTCTCGTGAGGAGGTTTCTAAGCAGAACAACTCCTCCCTTTTGTAAATACTCATAGTCTTCAAATATTGATGTGTTCTCCTTCACTAATGTGTCCTCACTCCTCAGGTCCTCACAGGGACAGGAGACATGTTCCTGCTGTCTACCTGTTGGTCTGAGTGATGAAGACCCCGACCACAGCCGGTTTCTGGTTTATCTGAAGCACGTTGGTGAGGGACTGAAGGACGTCAAAGTAGAAGAAGGAGTCTCCGGAGACAGAACAGTTGAGACGGGCCTGAGGACGCACACACACACGGGTCAGGAGACAGTCTTGGCCCGTGTCCTCTGTTCATTTCACTTTGTGTGAAGTCACCTTGAGGAAGGAGGTCCAGTATCTCTCTAGAACTCGGGGTGAGCCTCCGTTGTCGTTCTTGCAGACCCGGGCCACTCGAGAGAAGACCACCTGGAGAGACAGACGGTTCTTTTAGTCCAGCTCACAGTCCCTTGCGTTCTCCTAGTCCGGTTCCTCGGGTTCTCTTAGTCCGGCTCAGAGACCCTTGGGTTCTCGTAGGATAACTATAGGCTCATGTCCCCCTGTGGACTGACTCTGAAGAACCTCGTGGACCATCGGAGGATCAGCAGCACTTATTGATGTATTCTTGAGGAACAATCCACGTACTACTTCCATCTTGGGACAAAAAGCCATTGACGAGCCAATCAGAGCAGAGCGTGTCCTCTATTGATTACGTATCAAATCAATACAATCAATACAAACACAGACACACACACCTTGCCCAGCGCGGTGTACTCCACCGCAATCTCGCTCAGGAAGAAGTAGACGTAGTTACCGTAGTCGATGGCGTGCAGGAAGTGAGGCTCTGCAGAGAGGGGGAGGAGAAGAAGAAGGAAAGGAAGATGAAGAAAGAGGGTAAGAAGAAGTAGGAGGAGGAGAGGAGAAGATGGAGGAGGAGGGGAGGGGGAGGAGGAGCAGAAGGAGATGACGAAAATGAGGAAGAAGGTGAAGGAAGAGGGGGAAAATAAGAAGATGAAGGAGGAGGAGGGGAGGGGGGAGGAGGAGATGAAGAAGTAGGAGGAAAAGAAGGAGATGTAGGAGGAGGAGGAAGAGGAGGAGGAAAAGAGGAAGAATATTAAGGGCGGAGGAGGGGGAGGAGGAAATCAAAAAGTAGGAGGAGGAAAAGGAGAATAAGATGAAGGAGGATGAGGGGGAGGAGAAGAAGAAGAGGATGAAGGTGGAGGAGGAGTAGGAGATGTAGGCGGAGGAGGAGAAAAAGAAGAAGAAGAACATGAAGGAGGAGATGAAGGAGGAGGAGTAGGGGATGTAGGCGGAGGAGAAGGAAAAGGAGAAGAAGATGAAGGAGGAGGAGATGAAGGAGGAGATGGAGGAGGAGGAGATGGTTTATCACAGACAGCACTGAGAGCTTTCACTCTGATCACATCTCCTGAACTCCTCTCCAGATGTTCTCCGTGGGACCGACCTCTGAGCCACTTGGAGTCGTACTTGACGGTCCTGAGGACGGGTCGTCCGTCCCCCAGACTCCGGTAGAGGACGGCGTCACTGGCCAGGAAGTCCGTCATGGTGGCCGAGTAGAAGTCTCCTCCTGAGGAACAGTGTACTGTCAATATGTGTACTTGTACTGGCCGGAGGTACATGAGGTACTTTATACTCTACTACCTCTGAGAGGTACATGAGGTACTTTATACTCAACTACCTATGAGAGGTACATGAGGTACTTTATACTCTACTACCTATGAGAGGTACATGAGGTACTTTATACTCTACTACCTATGAGAGGTACATGAGGTACTTCATACTCTACTACCTATGAGAGGTACATGAGGTACTTATACTCTACTACCTATGAGAGGTACATGAGGTACTTCATACTCTACTACCTATGAGAGGTACATGAGGTACTTCATACTCTACTACCTATGAGAGGTACATGAGGTACTTTATACTCTACTACCTATGAGAGGTACATGAGGTACTTATACTCTACTACCTATGAGAGGTACATGAGGTACTTATACTCTACTACCTATGAGAGGTACATGAGGTACTTCATACTCTACTACCTATGAGAGGTACATGAGTACTTTATATTCTACTACCTTATGAGAGGTACAGGAGGTACTTTATCCTCTACTACCTATGAGAGGTACATGAGGTACTTTATACTGTACCTCTCAGTTCTAATTTGCATCGTCACAATGCTAAAACACTTAATAATACTAGTAGTACTAATAGTTGTAGATACTTTGCTCTCACAAAATGTACATTGTACATCGTAAAATACACGTTAATGCAGCAGAGAATCCTTTCACTGACAGTACACACTTTTACTTGAGGTGTTGGTGTGGTACTCGGTGGGTACGAGTAGACTCACCGGCGAACAGTCCCACGTTGGACTGCCCCGACTCGAAGGGACAGCGAGCCTGACCCACCACGTCCTCCCCGACCCGCTCCAGAGACCTCATCTGGGGGGGCAGAGTACACGGCACGCAGTACCGGCACAGATACAAATACACACTTCTAGTTCAGAGCTTCTGCATGTTCCCCCTGCTGATAACAATAATAACAATAATACACTGACACAATGATGATGTCATCAGAACACAGCCGAACACCAACTACCTGCAGCACTGACATTGGACTTATAATGGTTCTTATCTACAGCAAGTTGTACATCGGCTTATTTGATGAAATCACACTTTCTTGTTTCTTGTTCTTCTGAGTTTGTGTCCTTATGGTGGAAATGTTCTTATTGGAAGTCGCTTTGGATAAAAGCGTCAGATAAATGACATGTGGTGTATTTGTTGCATGTAATCAGCACATAGAAGTGAAATCTTTCCTTCAGGAAACCTCAGTCGCAGCACTTCTACACTTGTTACAACAGGAAGGAAGATCCAACAAGAAGATGTGCCGATTGGTTTCTTGTGAAAGTTTATATTGAAAAGTTTCTGCTAGATGAGAAACCTTTGAGTCTGAGGAGACCCCGTTGTTAGCACGGCTAGCTGCTAGCCGCCGAGAACCTCCCACAGTACAAGTACAAGACAATAAAATAAGTTCTGAAACATCTGCATTTATTTTGAAAGGACAATGGTCCCACATTGAAACATCTTCACTGCTGAGGAGCTCACCTTGTAGTTGCGGCAGGTGGGGTTGAAGGCGTTGGTCCCGCAGGCGAACAGCGTCTCGTCGTTACGTGGAACCAGAACTTTGACATAGTTGTAGCACTCGTCCTAACGAATGGGACGGGGACATGAGGACACTCACCATGAGACCAGTGACACAACAG